AATCAATTGGCCTCTATAATGAGTGGTAACACGCTGGTACAACACCACTTCATGCTAATCCAATCTTTTGTACCATGTTTTTAACAAAACAATGAAAGAGTGATTTATCTCACTTATGCAGAAATGTGTTTATGCATTTTAGTACTTAAATATCATTGATAAGTAACTTCATCCATTGTGTGGACCTTTGGCAAAACTGTGTTAATGGCCAACAAGAAAGCATATCAACCTTCACAAATGAATATGTATTGACTAGTAAACCTCTTTTTTGTTGCTTCTTAAAGGTCACCTATTATGCAAAATCCTCTTCTTCATGTCTCTTCTACATCAACATGTGTCCCCTCTTCTTCATGTCTCTTCTACATCAACATGTGTCCCCTCTTCTTCATGTCTCTTCTACATCAACATGTGTCCCCTCTTCTTCATGTCTCTTCTACATCAACATGTGTCCCCTCTTCTTCATGTCTCTTCTTCATCAACATGTGTCCCCTCTTCTTCGTGTCTCTTCTACATCAACATGTGTCCCCTCTTCTTCATGTCTCTTCTACATCAACATGTGTCCCCTCTTCTTCACGTCTCTTCTACATCAACATGTGTCCCCTCTTCTTCACGTCTCTTCTACATCAACATGTGTCCCCTCTTCTTCACGTCTCTTCTACATCAACATGTGTCCCCTCTTCTTCACGTCTCTTCTACATCACATGTGTCCCCTCTTCTTCATGTCTCTTCTACATCAACATGTGTCCCCTCTTCTTCATGTCTCTTCTACATCAACATGTGTCCCCTCTTCTTCACGTCTCTTCTACATCAACATGTGTCCCCTCTTCTTCATGTCTCTTCTACATCAACATGTGTCCCCTCTTCTTCATGTCTCTTCTACATCAACATGTGTCCCCTCTTCTTCATGTCTCCTCTTCATCAACATGTGTCCCCTCTTCTTCATGTCTCTTCTACATCAACATGTGTCCCCTCTTCTTCATGTCTCTTCTACATCAACATGTGTCCCCTCTTCTTCATGTCTCTTCTACATCAACATGTGTCCCCTCTTCTTCATGTCTCTTCTACATCAACATGTGTCCCCTCTGTGGAAAGAGACTCTGAAAGTTTCAGGAACAAAGATTCTCTCTCTTTTAGTCCTGATCCATTTCTATAAACCTGTCTGAAAATGAGCTGATCAGATTTTGGCCACTTTATGATGTCATAACGATGTGTTGTCTTGTGTAACCATTAGCCAATCACCAACCAAGGTAACCCCCCCCCCACACCTTATCACCTGAATCTCCTCCTAGAGCACCATTGTGTTCTTTTTAACCAAATGTCTCTCAGAGGGGCGTGGGGAGGGGCTCCTTATTTTCATCTAAAGTAACAGACAGAGAATCAGCACTTTTGAAACAGGGCTGAAACAGAGGGGATTATGGGTAATGTTGCAATGATCCGTTTGGTGTTTTTGACATGTTTTGTATCTATCTGAGACCTATAATGTATTGATGAAAAACAGTATAATAGGGGACCTTTAAAAACGACAATTTTTGGAATCATGTATCCTACAGAATCCCACCTGATCAAAGTAGATGGTCATGGTGCGGTTGCTCATCTCCGAGGGTTCATGGTTGGTGTTTCGAATGGCGGAAAACGCAACCCTGCCGCTTCCTGACCTCACTGACATGCCCAAAGCATTCCCCGACGGCTCCGCAGACGGCGTGGAGTCGCACACCACCAGACACTTTCCCTCCAATATCATTGGCTCTGTGTCATTCTGGCAGTTGACCATTTCGGGCACCCAATTGACCAGAAGCAGCAGTCCAATGAAAATGACTGAGCGGGGGGCAAGGTAGGGCAAAAAGGGAGGAAACAGAAAGGGCATAGTTCCAAATATGTGGTTTTTGGTTCTGTTTTACGGGGCTCAGTGACAATATGGCTGCCACAATCTTCAGTGTCTTATCGAAGAACACTTCACTGTAGCAACAGGATTATAATTTCACCTTGAAAGATTTTAAACCAATGATTTCTCGCATCCCATGGGACTAGATTGAATCGGCTAATCCTCGCGTAACCGCTCTGACAACAGCGGGTGGAAATAAAGTCTCTCTTGAAAGACGTCTAAGAGCTGGCGAGATGGCGGATGCCCATGACAGCACGTACAGTAGAAAATCCAGATAAGAATAGTTGAAAGTTATCCAGTTCTTTACACCGCTTCAAAAATGGACATCAGCCAAATGAACTGGTTTGGAGGCTGTCGAGACTTCAGGCCTGTTTGAAGGAGCAGACAAAACATCGCACAATTATTTTCTGTATATTAACAACCAATCACATGACAGGTGCTTGGCTACTAAAGAAGCTTTCTATGTTACGGGTGTATGCGTATGTTGCCAATGTATGTCACATCCTAAAGTACACACTATATATTCCGGTTAAAATACCATTTAAAGTACACTTTTCCTGCAATCTCATAAATACAAAAAAAGTGAGGTCATGAATACACTTAAAATCCAACAACTGTGTCATGTTGACGTACATTGAAACGGTTCACTGCAAGTTCTTTGTACAACAATAATTGTTTGTCTTATTCAGAAGGTCTGTTTTCTCTGACGTAAAACCTGAGATCAGAATCAGAATACATTCATTAGTCCCACAGAGGGGACATTTACGTTGTTACAGCAGAAAAAGAGCCAAAGACAGCTTACGATGTTACAAAGAAGCATGCATAAAAAAGTATTAAAGTTAAAATAAAATAAAAAGTTACACAATTCAAATCAAGTAAAGGACTGGTAGGGCAAACTGTGGCTAGGGGAAAACAAGTAGAAGATGATGAGGTAATGTTCTGGGCAGGAAGAAGCCTTGTGAGTGCCAGCTGGACACAGGAGGGGGTGCAGCGGACTCTCACTATCCCCCCCAGAGGGGCCATCTGTGGGTAAACATCACCACTCTTTCTCCACCTCGCGAATAATCCCAATATCTGCATTATTTTAAACAAACCCCCTTGATTACACTATGAATAGAGTGTCGATGAATAGATAATAGATCACAGAGCTTCATGCACTGCAGGGAAGACTAATCATTATATATATATCATGGTAGTCAAAGAGTCAAAATGTATAACGAGAAATTTGTTTAAAGACTAAGCGTTTTTTTGCTACAATAAGTGCCGCTTTATTCAAATTTTATTTATATGATTTCAATCATATTCAATTTACAGTAAATACTGCTGTATTCGACAAAATGTTTACTATATTTTTTAATGTTATTATAGTTTCTTCAAATAGTTTTCTAACTGTGTTTTTAATTTATTTGTATGTATGCACCTCAACACCAAGTCAAATTCCTCGTAGTGTTAACCTGGTGATAAACCTGTTTCTGATTCTGATGTACAACACGCCCAACTACAAGCATTTCCACAATAACAACCTTTTCAACATGCACACGTTATATTATAGTTTGAGAAAAATAGTAAGATGGAAAATACCAACCTTTCACTCTAAGCGTTGACTCAGCAGCGACAGAAATCACCCAGCGATGTTCAGTAAAGTTAAAGCATCTCAAGAGCCTTGTTCCCTATTCCCTTTATCGTTTCCTCTGCCTCTTCCCTCTTTCCCCATTTCCTCCTCTCTCTCTCTTCCAGGAAACCCCTGTGTTCGAGCAGACGTTTAATCATATCACAAGCCTCACTGTCCTTCTGTTTTCACAGCTCCTCGACCCCCTACTGTCCTTGCTTCCCCTCCTCCTCCTCCTCCTCCTCCTCCTCCTCCTCCTCCTCCTCCTCCTCCTCCTCCTCCTCCTCCTCCTCCTCCTCTCTTTCCCCTCACAACTCACAGAATGGATGGTGGAAAGGATGTAAATAACACTGCTATATACCCTTTCTTTGGGGAACAAGAGGAGGCATATTGACCCCTAACCTGTTTACCCCTGAGCCTGTGTTTCAGGTCTCAGGCTCGAAAATGACATTCCCAGAACAAATGACTATAACTTCACTTCTAAAAGGGGTAAATTAATAATCTTTTTTCTCAAAGCAATGATAAACCTGTGAGTTGGATGTAGAAAAGTCAGAATCAATATAGATTTTTTTTATTTTAAAGTAAATTCAGATTGAACATAGTAAAAAAATGTAAATTACAGTGTCCGTCCAAAAAAAAAAACATTACGAAAACCAGCCTTGAATGATGGGATAGTAGACTAAAAGCTTTAGGAATCCAAACTATAACATATAATAAGTACCCTGTATCAAGATTGATGCAAAGTGACATTTGACCTTTTTAGAGAGATTTAGAACAAAAAACCCACTTCTGGGGTCATTTGGTGCATTTTCCATATCTCTGGCCCCCCTCGGTCGGGGGCGGGGGCAGCCGGGCTTAACAGGTTAAGTTCGAACAGCAAGAAATAACCCAAACTGTATGCAAAGGATTGGTTTGTATTGGTTGTATGATATTTAAATGATGGTTCTTGCTAATATTAACCAATTGCTTTGTGAATACCCAAACTGGTCTCTTAGAAATGTTGTTTATATACTTCCAAAATACTACCAAACAAACAACATTAACCTAATCTATGGCAAAACCAATTTGTAGTATTGACACAGGTTTGGAAATTAAACAGAAACCAAAAGATATATCGAGTCTGAGGGCCACTAGTCGGATTTGACATTGTTTATTTGGGGTAAAGGATTTGGATCTTGAAGTGCAGAGATCTGCTGGCTTTAACAGGTCTTAGACAGCTGATTATCATCTGTGACGATTTCATTATTTTGTGATTGGTATCAAGCCACCGAACAACACACTACATCACTGGGACGTCAGCCATTTGTCTTGGAATGATTTATCATATCTTTCAATACATTTCATTTGAATGGACAATTTGCAAAATGACACAATTTCAGTTTTTGATTTGCGACATTTATTTTCGGTTTCGCAATTTGTATCTCAAGATGTCATTTCCCATTTTGTCTATGGGATAATGTTTCTCAGTTCATGCAACAATATTTAAATCCAAATATATTGTCTGGTAACATTTACATGATACAAAATGATAAACCATGTTAAGAAAACAATTAATTATGTAAGAAATTGTGAGAAACCACGCTGCCATCGTTGACGCTGTAAACGCATATACACAAATAACAACTCAATAATTGTTGGCCTGTTGCAGGATACTGTTAAATACTATTACAGTGCAAAGAATCATATATAATATATATAAACCTAATTTCTTGATATCACTTGGTATCATCCTTTCCTATAACACCTCATAAAGCTGTCTCAATGGTAATGTCTTCCCTGACTCTTCCTTCAACAGCTTCAACAGGACAGATGATCAACGGGGCGATGTTCTTCCCTTCATCTTGAAGACACGGGTTAAAGTAGGGGTACAGGGGCTCTGTGAAGTCACACTCGCTGAAAGTGTAAATGTGGGTCTTTGCGTCTGCGTCGTAGAAGGACACCGACCCTTCCTCGTAGTCCAGGAAGACGCCCACCTTCTGGGGAGTTTCCTGGAGGTGCAGGGCGACCGAGGGTCCGGCACAGGCCTTGAAATCACTGCCTTTTCGCAGAGAGATCGCCCAGTTACCGGTGTCAGGACGAACCGGGATCGCCCCCTTCCTGTTGATGGACTCCTTCGCCACACCAAGACCCCACTCTGATTTATCTGCAACCTGAAACACAAAGTACAGAAAACATGATCAGAAAAAACCCGTACCATACTCTTTTATCATGCCTAAACTTTGTCTAAGTACACTGAGATCTTAAGGCGTTTTTTCTTGTTTCCTCACCTGGACAACCCAGTAGCGTCTTCCCGATGTGAAGCTTTGTTCCCTCAAAACACTTGTTTAAAAATACTCTGGTAAAAGTATAAGTACTGACTAAACTTCTTTGCTCAAGTAAAAGTAAAGAAGTATGGGCTTCGAAATGTACTTAAGTAAAAAGTACCCATAACTACCAACTGTTTTATAGAGTAAAATGCACTAAAAGCCGAATCTAGATTTATTTTCTCTCATTCTAGTGACGCTCGGAGGGCGGGGGTATAGCCGGTATATTGCACGCACACCTTCACTCAACTCTGAGGGTCTCCTCAGCTCAGAGCCTGACCCGAAACATTGATGAACTTGCACCCGAGATGAGACGCCAAGTATCTGCTTGAACTAGCATCACAGAGCAGCACACTGAGTTCACATGGATGTTTCCTTCTGCACTTTCTCTCACGACAACAGGGCATGTTTGGTTTGATCTTTGAGGGAAATAGTTTTTTTGAAGCTGTTGTTGGCCTGTGGGAAAATGTAATCATAAGAAATGACTCTGGAAAAGCTGCAGATAGAGCCATAAGAAATGAATGCAACTGATTATTTAATGTTTAATGTTGTTTTTATAGGCAATAATTTAAGCTTTGTTAGTTCCAGGTTTAATATGTGCAATAAGTTCATTTCAATAAGTTCTGCAATAAACATTGAACCAGTCCGGCCCGCGACTAGTACCCATTTTTTTATTTTGGCCCACTGTGTATTTGAGTTTAAAAGAATCAAAGCCTGTTCAACAGAAACACAGAATGGGGTTATTCTGGTGCCTGTTTGCGTGCTTATGTTTCTGAAGGCGCATACATCACTCGAATAAAATAAATAAAAACATGGTCTAGTTAGTATCTCAAACAATCACTAACCCTAACCCTAGGGATGTTTGGTGCGCCAACAATTGAGTTAATGTTCCAGAGGTCAGATTTCGATCTTTTTAAAAATGGTTCTTGGCACAAGTTGAAACAAATACTTCCGCATACACCTTTCACACTCATAGAAAGTCTTTCTATAAAAGACTTTCAATGAGCTTGAGCTATCTTATTCAGAAGCAAATACTTACTTGAAAACATGAAAGCATCTTCATCCGAAACACAATGGGCTATGCTGGTACAAGCTGCTTTTGAAACGCTTCAACAGATTACCAACAGGGCGACACCCTTCTCTCCACAGAAAAACAATGGCATCATGTGATGGCAACTTACTGTAAGCATGTGCTCCAGCTGGCACTGCTACATGAATCTACTATTTTAAGATGTGGTTCGAGTAATTGCGTATTTAGTAATTGTTGACAGTGAATACAATTAAATTGGCAAATTAATGCAGTCTCAGAAGACGGCATTGAATGAAATAGCTGTGGGAAATGTTATGCTATAATAAATTCAAGTAATTATGTTTTGGATTAATAATGCTATTGGCTGCTCTAAAAATATTCTTGATTAAGTCAGCATACCCAAATATGGGAAACTCCATGCACAAGTTAGCTCCATTTTGTAAAACATTTATCAAATGTAATTGTGCCTTAAACGTTAAACTTTCTTTAAAAGCCAACTGGGGGCTTATTCCAATGGTTGCAAACAAATACCCTTTTTTTTCTTATCAAGATTTTCCTGACAAGTTTATGGTTTTAAGTCTCAAGTGTTCACTAGAGCTTGATGCTCATTTTGTATATTATGATCATATTTAGAAGAAATGTGGTTAAAGCAAGGTTTGATTCAGGGCGAGGCTACCGTGCGACTCACAAATATCTACCGTGCTGTTGTTGGGTTTGGGTGTTGGCAATTTTTTCAGCTTTTAACCCTTTCACAGTCTGTCTTCATTTGATGAAAGTTCATACGTCTTTGTCGCTTACAAATGTCTTGTTTATGGTTCAGTTGTACTTGACCCCATTATCTTGTTGTTTCTTTTGATACCAAAAAGAAGGAACACACCGAGCCTATTTCGGCCGTCGATAGATGTCTGGCCGTCGATGAGCGTCCTGTCGCCCTACTCAGATTGGTGTGTCCAGCACCGTCGTGTCTTTTCGGGCCGTGCCGACGCCTTCCGCCGCCGCAGTCGGCCAACGGCTGTCGGCAATAGAAATCACTCTGATTGGCTGTTCAGCTTAGCGAATCAGTGCATGAGAAGCGAAATGGAAGTGAAGAAGGCACACACAGACGGCTATTCTTTTTCATTTTCTAGCACCGCACTAAACATATTTTCAATTATAAGTCGTTATGTGACACAGTCTGTGAAACAGTCTGTGATGGACGAGAGTGAAAATGGAACGCACGCTATTTGTTGTTTGTTTATATCACGCAGTCTGTTCTTCTTCTCGGTTATCACGCAGTCTGTCTTCCGGTTGTTGCCTCTTTTGAATGACGAATACACACTACCGCCGCCTGCTGGTAAGGAGAGTTATTGCCACTCACGCATGTGCAGTGCGTACGTGCTACTTGGCCGTCGGCTGAAGTCTTTGCGGTGTGTTCCAGTGCGACTTTTTGGCCAAGACACAGGAGACGTGAGGCGACACAACAATCGGGTCCGTCGGGACGTGTTCTTTGGTGTCAGTTTGGTGTGTCAGGGCCTTTAGATGTATTGTTTATTTTCAACATTTTGAACTGCTTCTCTCACTCTGTATTTCTACTTTTTTTGAAAAATGTATGTAGATGTGGTTTAATTAAGTCAATTACACAAGAGATTTGAGCTAAATGCTAAGGTTAGCCTCACCTTCACTCTCACAGTAAATATGCAAAAAACACTGTTTAGCAAGCACAATGTTCACCACGTTCACTATTCTAAGTGTATTAGTGTGCTAATGTTTGCTAATACCAACATGACTTTTAACCAGATGCTGATGGAAATCTCACAGTTTTGTTCTGATGATGGCGCTATTTGTAAAGTCTGGTGTCACAAAAATCAGTAGGATTCATTCTCTTAGAAACATGAATATCTGCACCAAAGTGTGTGCAGATCCGTCAAAGATGTGTTGAGACATTTCAGTCTGCACCAAAGTGGTCAGCTGGAATCCCCAAAGGAGGCACGGCTAAAAAAGGAAGCATATTTATAGTTCTGTATATTTGTGCTGTGTACCTCAACAGCTCCCATACAACACAAACATTTTCACAAGTGATGCCAGCTTGGACTCATATTCTGGCCAATCGAGATACACCCCAAATTCCGGGGTCTCACGAGGTCTGTCCCATTTTAAGGGCTCTTTTTTCCAAACCTATCACATCCAGTGTGTCTGTTTGCAGCTCTCGGTATGTACTGTGCAAATCATTGTTAGTTTGATTAAAGTACAGCCATATAGGTAAAGGCTTGTTCATTACTGCAAAATGTATGTGTCTTTTGGCTAATTAATCACAATGTGAGGAGGAGTCTATCCTTTGTGATTTGTTTCCTTGAAACCAAAGAGAACCTGTTTTTGTTGAAACTGTGGAATAGCTCTACTTGCTTCCTCAATACATATCATGAAGGAATCTGATTGAACCTGTTCGTACCTTAAGACTGCAATTAAACGTCTTCTGCAGGATGAAAGCAATGAACTGACAAAACCTGGAAGACCTGCATCATTTTGAAACCAATAAAGCCCTAAGGTGTTTAGTCAATATTAAACTATTTTAAATCTTAACCGGTGACTAGAAATGAACATATTTCTGAAGAAGTTCTGATGCTGAGTGTTTTGACAGGTGCTGCTTTGTCTGCCAATCATAAAGGAAAGCACGATGCTCATCATTAAATCCTTTTTCGACCTCGCCCACATATTTCAGCAAGTTAAGTGCAGTTATTGTTGTGGGACACCTGGAGCATCCTTCTCGGGGTGTAGATGACCCCGAGCCATAAGCGACAACAAATGTGATTCAGTGTCCTCAGCTGTTTAGTCTATCTGTTGAAGAATGTTGATTATTACACTCTGATAGTTAAAACCTGGAGCTACAGGAGGGTTCTTCAGAATTGATTGTGGCATCTCAACCGTGTGGTCAAACCGTGGCCCGTGACGTGTCGTGTGCATTTTCCGGCCGAAGCTCCAAATAAACCCTCAGTGTTTGCCATCAAAGCTCCAGCTCTCCATCGTGTCTCTCTTTGAGTCCTGACTCCAATTGATTAAGAAGTTTCACCCACAAATTAGAAAGAATACAACTTTTATTTATTTACTTTGAAAGCATTTACAGTCTTTGTACACCCTCATAAAAAACAAACATGTTCTGATCATTTGTGTTTACAAATGTTGGCAAAAATAATCAATTAAGCACACACAAAAAAAGTTTTCCTTAAATAATAAATGCAAAAAAAGATCCTGATCACGTACATTTTTGTAGAAAGATGTGAGAAGCAGTTTCATTTTCGGGAATAAAAAAAAAAAATATATATTTACAAAAATAAAGTCAGTTGTCTGTCATCCTACAAAAAAAAGTTATATAACTGAGTCCCAGAACCAGAACATATTTACAATCACATCAAAGTCCTGTTTATGTTAGCAACATGTGCTCCAAAAATTGGTTGTAGCCATCTTGATTTTTTGAAACAAGTCAATCAAACGCTGTACACCAAATGTTACAATACATTTTTTACTTTTATAAAACATTAAAAAAAAGGTTATTCCTAAGAGAAAAATATGGACAACACCCGACAATATTGAGTAAGATAACTGTCGAAAACAAGTCGGCCCCACCAAAAAGCTTATTACTCATTGGAATATCATTTACAAAATAAACATCATGCTGTATTGAAGAAGACACTAAACTAGCAATCCAGAACAAAAACTCATTATGATAAGGTTTACTGAGGTAATAAATCAAGTAAGAAGTAGAGTCATTTTCTCATAGACTTATATACAACTGGAGCAATTGCCCCCTACTGGCTGTTTAAGGGAATCACGTGGTTTTGGCAAAAGGGCAGATTTGTTTAGTTGGCTGTTCTGGGATCAGAAGATCCATGAGTTATATGTGGATGGCTGTGATTGTGCACATCAATAATACGTCTAAAACACTTTAAAGGCATTATTTACTAGTGCATAGTGTTCGTCAAACTTTAACTTTCTCACGGCGGATAAGGAAATTCTCATGGACTTTTCCCTCCAAAACAAGTGTGCCTTTAGTCTCCTAAAATGCTGGATCTAACTAACTAACTAACCCCTAAAAGGCCAGATTAATCTCCGTAGGGGTCCCTACCTCAACGGGACAGATGATCAACGGGGCGGTGTTCTTCCCGTTGTTATGAAGACACGGGTTTAAGTACGGGTAGAGAGGCTCGGTGAAAAGACAGCCTGTGAAAGTGTAAATGTGGGTCTTTGCATCTGCGTTGTAGAAGGACACCGACCCTTCCTCGTAGTCCAGGAAGACGGCTACTTTATGGGGTTTTTCCTGGAGATGGAGGGCGACGGAGGGTCCGGCACAGGCCTTGAATTCGATGCCTTTTCGCAGACAAATCGCCCAGTAACCGGTGTCAGGGCGAACCGTGATCACCCCCTTCCTGTTGATGGACTCCCTCGCCACACCAAGATCCCAGTCTGATTTATCCCCGACCTGAAACCAAACGTAGAGAATTGAGATTAGAAATATAGGCAAATGAAAGCTGCAACCATGCTCACTTTTCCTAAATGCAAGCGGACTGCGGCCTGTAAACAAAAGTCGGACACACCCCCACAGGACTTAATTTAAGTATTCTGTCACCCTCTCCAAGATTAGAAATAGGGGACAAGGTTGGATTGAAATGTATTCCAGTCCGTGATGATCTTGTCTTCACCTGTTACCAAGAACATCCTTACAGCCACAAGGGGGCATTGAAGAGCTATTATTTCATATCAAGGGATGTGCAAGTGTGTTTTTCTTTCCTTTACTTATAGACATGGCCGTACCTTTCGAGGTGTATATACCGTAATAAAAGTTGTGAAATAACTGTACATAATGAACAGGGTTCTTTGTAATAGTTCCATTTACTGGTGGTGGGGGCGCTTCACAACTTCGTAGCCTACATTAGAGCAGACAGAAGAAGACGACATTCATTTGAATTAATGTCGTCTTGAAAATAGATATCTAGATCATGAAAATCAAAAGAAGATGTCGGGGGGGGGGCCTGCCCCCGAGCCCCCCTAGCATGTTTTGGACCTTGGTATTCAAGAAATCCTGGATACGGGCCTGCTTATAGATGATATCCATTGGTCAACTTTATTTTGAAATACAGCCAATCTATAAACCAGGAACACATCCTTGTAACCTTTGACAATTGGTCACACTTGGAGAGAACAGTATAGAGTAGAGGGAATATCATCAACCTCATAAACATGCTTCCTGAATGTATTTCCCTCATCCCAAGTTACATTTCTCATGAAAGCAGATACAGAAATGTTGAATTCTGGAAAAATTATATAAACCCCATTGGCAATAAATCTGGTTCTGGTCCGAGTTCCTACCTGGACCACCCAGTAACGTCTCCCCGAGGTGAAGCTTTGTTTCCCCAGAACGGAGACGCAGGAGTCAAATCTGCGAGGCTCGTCAGGGGGGGGGGGGGTTCTTCTGCTGGCTGCTGAGGCTCACCTGAAGATCCACAACAACAACAACACTTACATTCAAGTGTTGGAATATATCAGATATTTCCGTCATTAGTCTTATTAGTCCATGACATGTTACCTGTTTCCCATCTGCGGACAAACACAGCCAAGCAGAAGCAGTCACTGGATCCAAAGTCACATCCACTGAAGGAAAGAAAGAATTTGTGAGTCAGATAAAATTCAATTAACTTCACCAAATTAGACTATATCACCTTAAAACATATTACAGATCCATACAGCTTCGCAGAGTTCAAACATGAGCGCTATTGGGTTTAAAGTCCAATAGTTCACTTGTACAAATATTCTGGTGCAGGTTTTGCATGTACACACAATAACTGTACAGTATGCCAATACATTCAGACAGAAATAACAAACTGAACCTAGAAAATAGCGGAAAAAAGCTGTTTTTTGGCACGCAGTTTAGAAGTGCTGCAGAACTCAGATCAGTTTTGTGTCTGCTATGTTTATTACATGGATATATAATGTATAAAAACTCTGGATAATGTTCAACGAGAAGTCTTTAATCGGTTATTTTCTCTTTAAGTATCTATTTATGGTCATGTTTGTTTCTATGGACTAAACATTAGTGACAATGGGATGATTTCACATATTCAGAAACATACCTGCATATTGACTTGCCTTACTCATCTCTACAGAAAAGAAGAACATAATTGTTAGTTACAATGTGAATCATTTGACAAATGATCATGTGATACACCTACAATAAAGTATAATACGCTCATTGATAGACAGTTACAAAGTGTTTATTTGAGGATATAACTAACCATTTCTTGAAGTTACTGACCTTCTGCAGACAGATTCTTTTCGAGCGCCTGACACACATCCACCAGCTTGGTGAAGGATCTCCTCAGCGTCCCTATGTTGTCCGAGTAAACTCTGACCTGAGACCAGTCCTTAGCGGCCAGCGGAGCACGCAGAGAGGGGAAACTCTACCACAGGAAGCAGGGGTGGGAAGTAGTGGAGAACAAATACTTTGTTACTGTACTCAAGTACATGTTTCTGGTATCAGTACTTTACTCCACTACTTATTTTTAGACGACTTTTTACTTTGACTTCTTACATGTTGAACACAAATACCTGTACTTTCTACTTCTTACATGTTGAACACAAAAACCTGTACTTTCTACTTCTCACATGTTGAACTCAAATACCTGTACTTTCTACTTCTTACATGTTGAACACAAATACCTGTACTTTCTACTTCTCACATGTTGAACACAAAAACCTGTACTTTCTACTTCCTACATGTTGAACACAAATATCTGTACTTTCTACTTCTTACATGTTGAACACAAATACCTGAACTTTCTACTTCTTACATGTTGAACTCAAATACCTGTACTTTCTACTTCTTACATGTTGAACACAAATACCTGTACTTTCTACTTCTCACATGTTGAACACAAAAACCTGTACTTTCTACTTCCTACATGTTGAACACAAATATCTGTACTTTCTACTTCTTACATGTTGAACACAAATACCTGAACTTTCTACTTCTTACATGTTGAACACAAATACCTGAACTTTCTACTTCTTACATGTTGAACACAAATACCTGTACTTTCTACTTCTTACATGTTGAACACAAATACCTGAACTTTCTACTTCTTACATGTTGAACACAAATACCTGTACTTTCTACTTCTCACATGTTGAACACAAATACCTGAACTTTCTACTTCTTACATGTTGAACACAAATACCTGTACTTTCTACTTCTCACATGTTGAACACAAATACCTGTACTTTCTACTTCTCACATGTTGAACACAAATACCTGTACTTTCTACTTCTTACATGTTGAACTCAAATACCTGTACTTTCTACTTCTTACATGTTGAACTCAAATACCTGTACTTTCTACTTCTTACATGTTGAACACAAATACCTGTACTTTCTACTTCTTACATGTTGAACTCAAATACCTGTACTTTCTACTTCTTACATGTTGAACTCAAATACCTGTACTTTCTACTTCTTACATGTTGAACCCAAATACCTGTACTTTCTACTTCTTACATGTTGAACACAAATACCTGTACTTTCTACTTCTTACATGTTGAACACAAATACCTGTACTTTCTACTTCTTACATGTTGAACTCAAATACCTGTACTTTCTACTTCTCTCATTTTCCAAACAGCTGGTTCCTTTAGTCTGAATGTGTGTTTGGTGCGTGATCATTATTCTTTAGAGTCATTGCGTGCCTATTGATTTGAACACGATCCGTGTATCCATCATTTCCTGGTCCTCTCTAAAGAAGAGGGACCAATGGAAACGTTGTCATGTTGCCGTTGTTCAGCATGGAAACATTCATTAGCTAACAATGACATTATTGTTCTATTAATATAAAGGGAGGTCAGGTACTCTTTAAAACAGCTGCTAGTTATGGGTACTTTTTACTGAAGTACATTTCAAAGCCCTCTTTACTTTGACTTGAGTAAAGAAGTTTAGTCAGTACTTCTACTTTTACCAGAGTATTTCTGTACTTCTACTCGAGTAAAGGATGTGTGTACTTTTGCCCTCTCTGGAAGACAGTGACAAAATGATCAGCAATTGTATTCATTTGATACATTAGAAAGTATGAATAAAGGTTGTTTCCATGCCATGCTCACCTGCAGCAGATGAAGAGGGTCCTCGGTGTTCTCCAGGTGCTTCAGCTCACTTCTTCTTTTCCGCACTTCATTAATTTCCTGCCCGAGATCTTTGATAAACTCCTTCTTCGTCCTCTCAGCCGCTTCGTGCTTCTGCTCGATCTCCTCCATGAGCAAAGACTGGCCTCTCTCGATGACACTTATCACCCCGGTGACCACCTGAATGCTTGTTTGGATCTGCCGTTCTTTGTTTATCTGCAGATGTGCACAATTTGGAGTTAACTCAAATGTCAAATAATGCAAATGGAAGTCTGATTTTGGACTGGAACATAATTGCTAAGAGTTTTTTCTGCACTGAGAAGGACAGCTCGATTTTCTGACAGAAGGAGGCCGCAATGTGCGTGAAACTACATAACACCACATCGGAAGAATGTTAACCCAGAGTTTATGTCTGAGTTGGGTTAGTGGCATGTGTGCTTTACAGTCATACTCTAATCACACCTGAATTGTTCCTCTATGATTATTTGACAATGCCAATTATTGACCAATGTTTCCCACTTTTCCCGTTCCATTTTAAAGTACAAAAGGGAAATATCGTGTGTAGTGATCATTGAACACACTTAATGTAAATAATATCCTACTTCAGAATTGTATCTAAAACCCGTCAATAGTGTTTTATTTGTATTTATTTTTTGTTGTCAGAGTATATATATATATAGATTTTCTATCTTCACAGTCCACTGTATATTTTCTACTTTTTAAATGCCGTTTTAATTCTATTTTGAGATGTTTAATTTAGTTTATTTCTACTTGTGCAATGCCTTTTTTTTTTTTATGCTGCTGCAACGCAAAAAAAATCCCAATTTGCGATCAATAAAGTATCTCTTATCTTATCTTAGTGCCAGAATTTGTACATAAACCAAACTTCCAATCCAATTTGAAAACAGATAATGAAATTCAGGGCATTGCCAAAGTTACTCATCTACTGTCAGCGGGACATAAATGGCTACAGTAGAGTTAATAGCAAGCTATCGTCTATTCCTGCTAAACAACCATACAGTACATTGCTTTCAATGCTCTGTAATCATCTTGTTGTCTGGTTCCTACAACAAAGTCAACTTCAGCTTCATTGTGCATTCTGAAATGCAAATTGCCAGAGTATCTACTGGAAGAAGAGGCTTCCGTTTCTTTATCCTTGAGCAGAAATAAGCGAAATGCAAAGAGACAACGATGACATCCCTTGTTAAAGTCAAGAAGGGACCTTCAACTTACTTTCCTCAACTCTGCCGAAGCGTTGATCTCCTCCAGCTTTCTGCTTCTTGCCTGGACCATCTGATTAAACTCTGCCTCCATCTTCTTCATCTGAGTCTGCAAAGGAATTCATGATCAAGAAAACGCTGTAAGGCAACTATCAGGATGAGGAAATGCATTTTGTTTTGCAGAAATGTTTTGTAATCTCAAGGTACACTGGAAAAAATGCTGCTCCAAAAACAAGTGAGAGAATAATGAAAACAACTTGTTTTGAAATAAGTACAAAAAGTGAAAATGAGCTTGGTCAGATGTCTTGAAATAAGAAGGGATGTTTAGATAAATCACATCTTGTAATTAGCTCAGAGAACTCATTTTGAACTATATTTTTACCAGAATTAGGAAATGTTGCGTTACAATATAAGCCGCAAATGCTCAAAAGTGTTCATTTTTTTAATGTTAGTTGGTGATTTTCCAATAAATACGTTAACTTTCATCTGAGATACAACTCAAAATAAGATTATTTGACTTAACAAGATGATGCATTGTCTAAAAACAAGACCCTATATCTCACTGCAGTGTCACTTCTGAAGTTATTATGTCTTAGTGTAAAGACACATTCTGACTAGATATTAGACGAATATACTTAGCAAGATTTTCGAGTTTTTGTAGTGTTTTCCTTTCCTCACCCTGACCCTCTTGCTCTCCTTCTCGATGGGGACGATCTCATGGTTCTTGTGGTCCCTCTCTCTACATTTCACACAAATAGGCGTCTGATCCCTCTTGCAGAACATGTCCAGGATCATGTTGTGACTCCTGCAGAGGTGACTGGTGGCGAAGATGGCCGGATCCGTCAGTCTGTGCTTCATCAGCGGTGGATCCCTCAGATGCGGCGTCAGGTGAATCTCACAGTAAGACGCCTGGCACACGAGGCAAGACTTAACCGCTATGATGTTGTTTCCTTGGCAGATGTCACAGGAAACTTCTTCCGATTGTTGTCGTCTCTGCACCATCCTCTTCGGCGGGGCGGGCTTGTATTCAGGCTGGCCCTTTATAGACCTGTTGATTCAAAACAGATTTAGTTCAAGTCAAATTGGCTTAAGAGAGTATGTGTGATTATGCAAGCAGAGGTGGGAAGTAGTGGAGTAAATACTTTGTTACTGTACTTAAGTAAATCTTTCTGGTATCAGTACTTTACTCCACTACTTGTTTTTCTTACATGTTGAACACAAATACCTGTACTTTCTACTTCTTACATGTTGAACCCAAATACCTGTACTTTCTACTTCTTACATGTTGAACCCAAATACCTGTACTTTCTACTTCTTACATGTTGAACCCAAATACCTGTACTTTCTACTTCTTACATGTTGAACCCAAATACCTGTACTTTCTACTTCTTACATGTTGAACACAAATACCTGTACTTTCTACTTCTTACATGTTGAACACAAATACCTGTACTTTCTACTTCTTACATGTTGAACTCAAATACCTGTACTTTCTACTTCTTACATGTTGAACTCAAATACCTGTACTTTCTACTTCTTACATGTTGAACACAAATACCTGTACTTTCTACTTCTTACATGTTGAACTCAAATACCTGTACTTTCTACTTCTTACATGTTGAACACAAATACCTGTACTTTCTACTTCTTACATGTTGAACTCAAATACCAGTACTTTCTACTTCTCACATGTTGAACTCAAATACCTGTACTTTCTACTTCTTACATGTTGAACACAAATACCTGTACTTTCTACTTCTTACATGTTGAACCCAAATACCTGTACTTTCTACTTCTTACATGTTGAACACAAATACCTGTACTTTCTACTTCTTACATGTTGAACCCAAATACCTGTACTTTCTACTTCTTACATGTTGAACTCAAATACCTGTACTTTCTACTTCTTACATGTTGAACACAAATACCTGTACTTTCTACTTCTTACATGTTGAACTCAAATACCTGTACTTTCTACTTCTTACATGTTGAACACAAATACCTGTACTTTCTACTTCTTACATGTTGAACACAAATACCTGAACTTTCTACTTCTTACATGTTGAACTCAAATACCTGTACTTTCTACTTCTTACATGTTGAACTCAAATACCTGTACTTTCTACTTCTTACATGTTGAACATAAATACCTGTACTTTCTACTTCTTACATGTTGAACTCAAATACCTGTACTTTCTACTTCTTACATGTTGAACTCAAATACCTGTACTTTCTACTTCTTACATGTTGAACTCAAATACTTGTACTTTCTACTTCTCTCATTTTCCAAACAGCTGGTTCCTTTAGTCTGAATGTGTGTTTGATGCGTGATCATTATTCTTTAGAGTCATTGCGTGCCTATTGATTTGAACACGATCCGTGTATCCATCATTTCCTGGTCTTCTCTAAAGAAGAGGGACCAATGGAAACGTTGTCATGTTGCCGTTGTTCAGCATGGAAACATTCATTAGCTAACAATGACATTATTGTTCTATTAATATAAAGGGAGGTCAGGTACTCTTTAAAGCAGCTGCTAGCTATGGGGACTTTTTACTGAAGTACATTTCAAAGCCTCTTTACTTTTACTTCAGTAAAGAAGTTTAGTCAGTACTTTTACCAGAGTATTTTTAAACAGGAGTATCTGTAGGCTACTTCTACTTGAGTAAAGGATGTTTGTACTTTTGCCATCTATTCATAAAAAATGTGCACATACTTTTTAAATTGATCGGTGATGTCTCTCAAGCCTACGTTGACCCTGAGATCTGGACGGGTTTTGAAGTCTTCTTTGCACAGAGGACACTCAAACTTCTGCTTCGTGTCCCAGAAGCGTTTGATGCACCCCAGGCAGTAGTTGTGTCCACATGGGATGGAGACGGGGTTTCGGAACATATCCAGACAGATGCTGCACTGAAACTGAACCTCGGACAACGCAAAGGCCATGTTTCTGACTGGAGAATAACATTATTTTACTCACACAAGCTGTAACAACACTTATTGTACATGTTATAATGTAAACAACGTTGCTTAAAGTTGAGTTTTAACCTAAAGGTGTTGGGAATGTGAGAAAAGTACAAATTAAACTTTTCTCTAGATACTATATGCAGTTGCTTTAAAAATCAACATCATCCAAAGCAGCTATTAGATACTACTAGATCAACTAAATTGTGTCTTCACATTAAAAATACTCAAAGTGCAAAGCGGTGGTTGTTAGCTAGCTACACGTGGATTAAACACACACACAAGTGGAGCATCTTCCTGCTCAGGACGTCATTTCTTCCCTGGTACTTTATCAGAATCAGATCATCTATTTAAGAAATGTTACAGGAAAGAGACAGTGCAGATAAAAGTACTAGATATGTATATTACATAAATAGGCAATAACCTTTAATGTAGGTGAAAGGGTTTTGTTAAAAAGCACCTCACTTAAAAAATGTATTAACCTTTGGTTCGTGTCTTTTACAGATTAAGTTATCCGTAAACACTGGTTAAAAGAGCATTTTTGTTTTATTTCAAAGTTAGTGCCTCATATGAAATCCACTTAAATTACACTTAGCCTTTTTTAGTTCATTGTAATGCAATCTTTATAATATCCACTTTGACGGTTCTAGCTCTGAAGCTTTTGTCTTTTAAAAACATTCCTGAAAATGTTAGCATTCACGACAATAATGTGTTCAAACTAAAGCATAGACTGGTGATATATATTGTTGTATATGCTAATACTCTGTACTCTATATGCTTAATATAATGTTTTACCTGTGTGTGTCGACGGACGAACAGACGCTCCTTAAGTGTGTTGCTAGCAGTGTGAATGCAGTCAAAACAGATCTCTTAAAATAAACACTGGTTCAAAGATCCTCCCACATTTGTCAAAACGTGTAATTCTGGTTCTCCTTCTCAGCCCTAAAGAGGATTAACTTCTTATTGTCTTTAACTCTTAACTGTTTTCCCTAAATACAAATGAGCACTATATTAGCTGCATGTTCCTAAGAGTTTGTTTTAGCAAGCTAACCAGAGCATCAGTAGAACCATGTTTTAATTAGTCAATTATTTTTTACGGAAATGTGAAAAGCATGAAGTTATTTCTGGCTTGTTGAGTAAAGCACGTTGGGAAACAACATGACTCACCTTCATGTTTCTATCAGCAGCCACATGACAAAGTAGAATGTGGTTGATTGTTGGATTTGGATCAGAATAGTTTTTAACCCTGAATTAGTGTAAATGTAAACAAAAAAGTACCTATAGTATGTATGCTGATCTTCTGAACTAGCTAACGTGTGTCTGTTAATCCATTAAAGCAAATAATGTCTCCTGTGCAGTGTGGTGTGGTGATCGTTAGAAGGCGCAGCTGGTTCACAATGAGGAGCACCTGCAGTGTTTCCCCTATATACAAATAGCGGCGGCGCAGCGCTAGGGGGCGCCAGCCAGGTACCCAACACAAATATATAAAAAAAAAAATTTTTACTTTATTTTTTTTCAATTAAAATAATAATAAGTGGCGACCCTTTTTCGTTTTTGATTGCTTGTTATGTGGATTTGTAGTATTTGTGTTACTGTATGTTGAATAAAGGTGTATTTTTGCTAAATCTTGAGACATTGCCACTGCCAATGTGTCACCGGACAAATGCTTGTAAAATCTGTATGCTTGTTATGTTTACATAGTGTTTATTTTGCCAGGATGATTTAATTAAAGACAAAGGAAACACAGGAAGTCCCTAAATTCTGCCCGAACTCTGCCGCCAGGCTTCTCACCCACACCAAGCCATGGCACCATATCACCCCCACCCTCATCCACCTACATTGGCTGCAGGTCAAGTCCCGGATTCAATACAAAACTCTCATCCTCACGTACAAGTCCCTCCATACCCTCGCCCCCCAGTACTTATCGGACCTCCTCCATCCCTACACCCCTTCTCGGAGTCTGCGGTCCTCAGACACGGGCCTGCTCTCCATCCCCCGCTCTCGCCTCCGTACTGTTGGTGTCAGGGCATTCAGTGTTGCGGCCCCCACCCTCTGGAATGCACTTCCGGCCGAGATCCGTAATGCTGCCTCCCTGGACATCTTCAAATTATCACTAAAAACACACCTGTTCACCCTGGCCTTCGGGCCCGAGCCCTTTTCTGGTCCCCTGGCTTCCTTTATTTATTTCTTTGGTTTGCCCGTTGATTGTCTGTTTGTTTTGTTTGTCCACCATGTACAGCGACCTTGGGTCCCTTGAAAGGCGCTATATAAATATCATTTATTATTATTATTAAATTATGCAAAAGTCAAGTGGTCAATTAGCGTGAGCATGTGTGCACAATTTAATAGGGCTTTACAACATACTTTCTCTTACGCTCTCTTTACTTGCATATCCAAAGTATATTTTGTGTTGAATTCAACCACTAATTATGTATAATTATGAAAATGTTCCCAGACTTACCAGGATTTTGCACATGACATGTTAGAGATGTGAACTTAATGCAGTGTTATTCCCACCCATTACAACAAAAAGAAACGTCTGACTGAATTGTAATTTACATTACATTACATTACATTGCATTTAGCTGACGCTTTTATCCAAAGCGACTTACAATAAGTACATTCGACCAGGAAGACACAACCTTGAAGAAAACAGAATCATATAAGTACATCAGGTTTCATAGAGCCAAACATTTCAAGTGCAACTCAACTGGCTTTAGATAAGCCAGTCCTTTATTAGTATATAAGTGCTTTGTTAATAAATCTATCGCTCGAAGTGGAGTCGAAAGAGATGAGTTTTCAGTTTGCGCCGGAAGATGTGCAAGCTATCTGCTGTCCTGATGTCAATGGGGAGCTCATTCCACCATCTTGGAGCCAGGATAGCAAACCCACGTGTTTTTGCTGATGGGAACTTGGGTCCCCCTCGCAGCGAGGGTGCAGCGAGTCGTTTGGCTGATGCAGAGCGTAGTGCACGCGCTGGGGTGTACGGTTTAACCATGTCCTGGATGTACGAAGGGCCAGATCCATTCGCAGCATGGTAAGCAAGTACCAGTGTCTTGAAGTGGATTCTAGCAGTTACCGGAAGCCAGTGAAGGGAGCGGAGGAGCGGCGTGGTGTGGGAACATTTAGGAAGGTTGAAGACCAGACGAGCCGCTGCATTCTGGATGAGCTGCAGAGGTCGGATGGCACATGCAGGTAGACCAGCCAGGAGGGAGTTGCAGTAGTCTAGGCGTGAGATGACGAGAGCCTGGACCAGAACCTGAGTCGCTTTCTGTGTCAGCTGGGGACGTATCTTCCTGATGTTGTAAAGCGTGTATCTGCAGCAATGGGTTGTAGCAGCGATGTTTGCAGTGAAGGACAGGTTGTTATCTAGGGTCACACCCAGATTCCTTGCAGTCTGAGTCAGGGAAACAACTGAGGTGCCGATGTTGATTGTTAGGTCAAGAGTGGGACAATCTTTTCCCGGAAGGAAGAGCAGCTCAGTCTTGTCAAGGTTGAGCTTGAGGTGATGAGCAGACATCCACTGAGAGATGTCAGCTAGACAAGCAGAGATGCGTGCGACGATCTGGGTCTCTGAGCGGGGAAAGGACAGAATTAATTGGGTGTCGTCAGCGTAGCAGTGGTAAGAAAAACCATGCGGGCTAATGACTGATCCGAGCGAGTTTGTGTACAGGGAGAAGACGAGGGGACCAAGAACAGAGCCCTGAGGGACCCCTGTAATTAATTGACAAGGGTCGGACTCAGACCCTCTCCAAGTCACCCTGTAGGTGCGGTCTTTCAGGTATGAGGTGATGAGGGAAAGTGCAGAGCCTGAAACTCCAAGTTTTTGCAGAGTGCGAAGGAGGATCTGATGATTCACCGTGTCGAATGCAGCAGACAGATCCAACAGGATGATGACAGAGGAGAGGGATGCAGTTTTGGCAGTGTGCAGTTCCTCCGTGACAGCAATGAGAGCAGTTTCTGTGGAGTGACCTGCCTTGAAACCAGACTGGTGCAGATCCAGAAGGTTGTTCTGATGGAGATAGCAGGAGAGTTGTTTAAAGACAGCGCGTTTAAGTGATTTAGACAGGAACGGGAGTAGAGAGACAGGCCTGTAGTTTATAACATCAAACGGGTTGAGAGTGGGTTTCTTTAGGAGAGGGTTTACTCTTGCCTCCTTGAGACTGTTTGGAAAGTGACCAGAAGTTAGAGAAGTGTTGATGAAATGGGAGAGAAACGGTAGAATATCAGGAGCGATAGTCTGAAGGAGGTTTGAAGGGATAGGGTCCAGAGGACAGGTGGTAGGGCGGGCAGAGGTAATGAGGGTAAGAACCTCACTTGGAGAGAGAGGGGAAAAGGAGGTTAGTGTGTTGGTGGAAGGAAGGTCTGGTGACCCAGCGGTGAGTAAAGGTGAGTCAGAAAAAGAAGAACGAATATCATCAACCTTTTTTTCAAAGTGGGTAACAAAGTCGCTTGACAGAAGTGAGGAGGGGGAGGGGCTTTTGGAGGGTCCAAGAGGGTGGAGAAGATGGAAAATAGTTTTTTGGGATTGGAATAGGAAGATTGGATCTTATCTTGAAAGAAAGTGCTTTTTGCCTGAGAGATCGAAGCAGAGAAAGAGGAGAGGAGAGCCTGATAGGTTAGGAGGTCGTCACGGTGTTTGGATTTCCACCATTTCCGCTCTGCTGCCCTAAGGACGGTTCTATTAGCACGCAGTGCGTCATTTAGCCAGGGAACAGGAGGGGACTGACGAGCCTGCCGAGATGTGAGAGGACAGAGAGAGTCCAGAGTGGATGAGAGAGTAGAGAGGAGAGTTTCTGCAGCAGAGTTTGGAGGTAGTAGTTGGAACGAGTCCGAGGAAGGGAGGGCTGAGAGCACCGATGAGGCAAAGGTAGAGGGAGAGAGGGAACGAAGGTTACGGCGGACAGGTGCAGGATGAGAAGAGATTAGTTTGTTATGTTTGGAAAGGGGTAGAGAGAATGAAATGAAGAAGTAGAGAATGAAATGAAGAAGTAGTACTTTATTGCCACCGAGTAGAGCTGTCAGGAAGTGCTCAAATATCTATCGAATGCATTCATTTATTCAATTAACTTCTGATCCAGTAGTCATTTTGAAATGATTATTATTGTTAAAATAAATACTTTGTGCAGCTGATACTTCTCATACTTTCATTTGGATTCACTTGTGGTTCTTTCTCATGAAATTCCTCATCAAAATGAGTCGATCATTTACAGAACATGCACTTGAATTTCATGATATGTGTCTCCAAATGATCTGTTATTGCCAGGAACCCTAAACTATGAAAATATATTGAATTAAAGTAAGTAAGAAATAAGTTATTCTTTAACTTAAAAGCTTAAATCGACCCACAACATAATAAACATCAACAAAGGTAATGCATGACTTAATTAAGCACATTTTGTAGCTTATTGTGTATTTCTATCTCCTACTTATGTCACTTAAAGCAGATCTTGTTTGAACGTTATGGACTTTTTAAAGGTCCCATCACACACCTGTCACATGATCTCTAATCTGTCAATGAGCAACTGTTTCCAAGTGTTTCCTTATAGTAACACTCCTGCTTTGTTTTTTACATGTAATGTTGTGTTTAGAGGCCTTAACTGTAACCTAATCTGCTTTTCTTCTTGGTGTTGATTCAGGCGTAAATAAGGGAGAATTTTACGAGTAACCGGCCGACTTACAGCATTCCTCAGTTCAGGCTGTGGTGTAAACTGTGTTTCAGGTGTGTCATAACGTGGAAAATGTTAACCATTGGACTCAAACACCACACCCATGAGGCAAACACACAACTTCCCTGTGTGAGAGCTGCTATTACTGTATTTCCATGATCGTATATACACACACTGATGTCTTCCACAACATGGGAGCGTTGTAAAATGCACTAACTAATGGAAGGTTGTGCCATAAATGCTGCTATTTAAAGATTAGGTAGTGAACTGAGAGAGAAACCAGTGTTTTGCTCGGCAGAGGGAGGGTTGGGGCTGATGAATAACTGTGTTGACGTTAGATTTTCCAGCTGTATTCATACTCATTCGTGAAGCAGGAGTGTCACCTGCTCCGTCACAGAGGACAAGAGTGAGACTGACCATCTTCACGGGAGAAAAGCAGCTGTAAGTATGAGAGATATGAAATAC